CTGCTTTTATTTTCTATCTTTTACGCAGTATGTTCGCTAACGGGAATTATGTTCTATTCGTCAATGAATCGACTCTTTGATGTGCTTCTTTCATTTTCCTTTTTCATAAATTAAGTTTTTATTTCTTTTGCTTTTTTTACTGCTTTTTGTCTCGTAGTTCTTTGTTAACTTGTTTCTTATTATTGTAACAAAATGACGCAAAAATTTCAATTTTCTTCACTCGTACACAGTCATGAGTGCACATATGCAAATTCGCTGTCCTTGGCCGGATTTAAAACTTCCCTCGCTTACAAATTTAATAGCTTTAATAGCTTGTAAATGCCTATATGTGTATAACAGTGTGCGATTATGCGGTTATGTCGCTGTATGGGTAATACTTTTCAAATTTTTATTTCTATGCAAAAAACAGACCAAGTCGCAAAGACTTTGCGACTAACGCAAAAAAAAAAAAAAAATGCGAGATTTCATAGCGAAAATATCTTTCAAAAAAAAATTTTGATTGAGATAAAGTTTTTTCTCTCCTTTTTCAATTCTATTACAGACGGGTTTAATTAACTCTCTCGAAGAGTTTCTCGCAAAAATTGCACTTCATCGAACTTTGTTCTCTCATACAATTTTTTCCATGCATCCTAAAAAGATGCGCGACAACCAAGTGGTGTAGCACTTCCCAATAGCGCGCGTCTTTGAAAGAACAAAAAAAATTATGTTTATTTGTCATGCTAAGCTTCGAAACATGCCTTAAAGAAGTAGTAAATGACATGAATTATTTGATGTCATATCCAGTACCCGACGATGTTGATTAAAACATTGCCTCGACCAATATCTGCAATAGCTGATCGTCCAGATGGAAAACTATCCTGGAACTAAAATTTTTAATATCACTTTCCGATACATACTTTCGGTCCTAGTCTTGGCAAATGTGACTTTTTTATGAAAGATTTCTATCAGAAGTTTTCGCACGAATTTATCTATGAACGTCGGTGAGAAGAAGTTCGTTGCAATCTTTTCACAACGATACCATCGAGTGATATCGTTTACTGGTAAACTTCACGTTGTTTTTTAAGGGAGAGTCTGTTGTTCATGGATGACAATTTTATACAAAAATAGTGCAGAGTGCAGTTCACATGTATAGACAAGACCCTTTAAGTCTTGTGCGTGCAGCAGATGGTATATGCTAGAGACGCTTACGAATGAACGAAAGTGTATTAACTAGCAATCTCTGCTTAAGTATATTAAAAATTTATTGTAAATATTATTGAAATATTTTATGACGAGGTTTAACCAGAAGTACACTCGGATCAGCGCGCACATCCATTTACATGTGATCATTAATTTTTCAACTGCAGTATCCAATTCTCCGCCAGACTTGATATACTCACATTTAAATCAAACTTCTATCAACACTTTTCTCTATCGTTTTTCCCCCCGCCTGCTAATAAGCTTTCCTACACGAGTACAATAGGCCGTTCAACTTGCGGTATGGATTACTCATGCATAAACGAAATAGTATAATTAATATATTCTTTGTAATTATCCGTATTAAAAATAAAATCTTTTAACTTTTTTTCCCCCGTTAGCTACCTGACGTAGCTTCCTTCACTCGACACTCTTCTACCTAACAGGCACAGACAATAATAACTTAAATCAACAAACTTCTTATTTTTACTGGTTGCTATAAAACAAACAAAAATAAAATAAAAGAAAATATAGAAAGCGAAACAGAAACAGAAATAAAAGAAAGATCTATTCTCTTAGCTATCAAGTTATAGAAGTTTTCATGTTAATGTGTATGTGTTTTTTTATGCTATTGTCGTTATATTTTATAATTTTGACTTAAACAGATGGGTACGCGTTTATATCTGTATGTGCATGTGCATGCACATGCTTGCTTGCATACGTAACTATCCTGTAAAAGACATCTTTGTAAAGTTTTCTTCCACTTGTCTTACACTCTTTTCCGCTAACATAATTTCAGTAGTATGTTCCAAGATTTGAAGAACGAGAAGTGAAAACAAGATAAGTATACTGCTGTTGCTATTCCTTCTAACGATTTCACCTCCTCTGCTGAGGCAAACAAACAAAAAGCGATTGTGGTTCTTTTAAACACACAGCCGGGATTTTCAGAATTATGTAGTAATAAAATGGAAAAAAAAGAAAGAAAAGTAGAAGAGAAGAAAAGAAAAAAAAATAAGTAAATAAATAAAAGGGCAGAAGAAACATGCGAGCACATATATATGCACATATATATATATATATTCTTAGGCATGCAGACAAATATTCACAATTCAAATAAAGTTTACCTTTAAGAGGTTTACTTAACTGATTGCATGTGGCTGCCAAATTTTAGAAGCAAGCTTCTTAAACAACGATATACAGAGCTTACGGCGGAGTTGATAACATTCGTAACTATACGACGTCTGGAAAAGAGCAACGGCTGACTATAATTCGATAGTTTTTCGCAGATGTGCATTACGAGATTTTATTCAGCCCACATATCGTAATATGAAATTCGTTCAATTCGCCTACAAACACAACTGGCGACGTAATGAACTCTTTCGACATGCAGTGGCGCCATCAGCATAGGCTGCATGGCAAAGTACATTGCAATACGGTACAGTCGTATACAGTCGATTAGTATACAGTGCCAGTTTACAAATAACTATTGTGACTGTCGTTAAATCATAACATCGCTAAGAATGTAAAAAATTATATTATTATAGATTTCGATATTGTTTAGAACTCGTGCGATTAAGCTAAGTCATGCATAGCATTCTTTCGATTTGAATCCGCAAGTCAATGCCCAACAATCTTTCACGCATGAAGATTATAAATTGATTCATCTAGTACTGAGCAGATTGCCTTAAAAGAGTTCAAGGAAATTCCTCATAAGTGACAGATTCTTTGTCATCACCGCCGCTTTCTTTTACAGCCGTAATCTTCCATCTTTTTGGCTCTTGCATTCCTTAGTAGCACCCAAACACTATGAAGAGAATCGCGGATATATATTCCTACACACATACGCATATATATATATATATATATATATATGTGTGTGTGTGTGTGTAAGAAAACATGCGTGTCTGCGTAGTTATTTCTTTAATTTTAAAGAGGAGGAAAGCATTTGACGATTAAGGTTAGCTTGGGCTTTGCATGCAATGAAATCCACTCGCATGTCTGGCCTCCCGGAAGTCCTGTTAAGCATTACATTGGCTATGTATGTGCGTGCAAACGAAACGTCGTAACTTCAAAAGTATCAAAAGAAACGAGATACGTCTGTGAAAATTCCCTATAAGCTCTTAAGCAGAATATATAACCAAGTCAACTGAATGACATCTTTTCTACTCGCCTAACTATCTGTTGTAATTACGATTATGAATTCTGCAATTTATCTTAAATCTGTTCATTTTCAATCACGTTCGATTAAATTCGAAAATTGACAAAATCGGACCAGTGGCGTGCAGAAAAATCAAAACTTTGAGATATTTATATATGTACTTTCTATATTGGATATTCTAAGATGGATATAGCTTTTGATTTGGTTAAATGGTTTTCGCCATTTTACAATTAACTTTTTTAAACAACCCGATGGGAAAATGGCCACTAAAAATTTTTTTTAGATTATTGTAGCTGCGAAGCTTGTAATCTCTATTTTTGTTGATTTTTGGCTTACAATATTAGTTTCAGCTTAAAAATGGTTAGTTTACTTTTCGAAAAGTTATCTTGAAGCAGGTAGGTAGCCCGATGAATGCTTACGTTCCACCTTTGTAATCGCAATACTTCAACGAGGAGGAGATGTGAAAGATCAAAACCTCACTTCTTTGGCTTTGTATCTATCTACGGCATTTCTCCGCCTTACCACATAAGCAAACAAAAAAAAAAAAAAAAAAAAAAAAAAAATTCAGTTGACGACCTCAATCCAAATGTTGCTTGCCAAAATAAACTGAATATAGTTTTAAATACTCTCCTTTAACTTTGTCTCCTTTATTTAGTGAATGAATCCGTTAACGAATGGACAAACCAAAATTCAAGACTAACTGGCAATATTCTATTTTGAAAAATTGTTTTTTTTTTTTTTAGCTAAGAGTTTAAAACTGGCCGCCATTTAATTTTACTTTACTAAAATTATTTAGACTCTTCTTAAAACAGTAACAGTTTATTTAACAAATTTAAACACATACACACTTCTATGTGCTATAAATGTAACAATGACGTTCACGTATCTTCCGGCATTACCAGAATTGCAATCAACGCAAATAACAAAAAGAAAAAAAAAAAAAAAAAAAAAAAAAAGCGCAGAACATTGTCGTAATGTCTGCTATCAAACTAAGCTCTTTACGACTTTCAATTATTTTATATATATGTATATGTACATGTCCGTAAAAAAAAAAAAAAAAAAAAAAAAAAAAACGCCCATCAATTTAGTAGTTTTATTGAGCAGAAAATGAATGAATTGGCATTTAAGTACAGTTTGATGTAATTTTTGATTTGATCGATGTGCCTGAGTAAGCCTACCTGGGAAATGGGAAAGAGAAGCGAAGAAATGATAAAAGTTAAAAGTTCTCAAAGAAACTTTTCAATCATTAAAGCCTTAGAGAATATGGATCAAAAATTATTTTACTCACTCGCCCATTCACCCATTCAATCCTAGATAGTACACGCTTACATAAGTAGATAGTAGATAATGTTGCTTTAATTCAGTTATTGTTCTTGGCTAACGCTTACTATTCGACATATATAACAACATATGTATTATCTTTCTATGACTTTGTCTATTGTTTAACAATAAGGGCGCAGCCAACCAACCGAACTCGTACGTCTCAGTAAGTATACTCTTCCATTTGTATGCAATTAGGGTAAGTGTTAGATTATTTATGATTCAACTCAAGGTGTTAAGTCTATGCATCGAAATTCCAAAAAGGTTTTGTTAACATCATAGCGCTAACTTAGTCCATTATTAAATTATTGTTTGCTTTCTTTGCATGTTTCATTTTGGAATGCAGGAGTAATGTGAATTTGGCACCAGGTGATCGTTATGTGCGGATAGCATTTGCCGAAGCAGCTAAAGAGATTGATATGGCGATTAACAATACTATTGATATGTTGTTTAGTAAGCGTAATCGCACCCGTCCAGACGGTCAGCAAGCGACTCCGAATTATGGTGATTTATTACGAGTATTTCGCTTCCCCAACGGTGAGGCTCGCCAGTTAGCTAGAGCTGCCGAAATTTATGAACGCACTCTTGTTAATATACGAAAGCATGTCCTTAAAGGCGACAATTTAAGCATTGAAAGTGACCGATATGAATTTCGTGATCTGCTGTCACGCGAACATTTGCATTTGGTAGCCGAGTTGTCCGGTTGTATGGAGCATCGAGAAATGCCCAATTGTACGGATATGTGTTTCCATTCAAAATATCGATCAATTGATGGGACCTGCAATAATTTGAAAAATCCGGCTTGGGGAGCCTCTTTAACAGCCTTTAGACGCCTGGAGAAACCTATCTATGAAAATGGCTTCAGTATGCCAGTGGGCTGGATGAAAGGCAAATTATATAGTGGTTTTCCAAAGCCAAGTTCTCGTTTGGTATCCACGTCATTGATTTCTACCAAAGAAACAACACCCGATCAAAGTATTACGCATATGGTAATGCAGTGGGGACAATTTCTGGATCATGATTTAGATCATGCCATACCTTCGGTTAGTTCGGAAAGCTGGGATGGCATAGACTGTAAAAAAACATGTGAGTTTGCATCACCCTGTTACCCTATTGAGGTGCCACCCAATGATCCACGCATAAAAAATCGTCGTTGCATAGATGTTGTGCGTTCAAGTTCGATTTGTGGTTCGGGTATGACTTCGGTATTTTTTGACAGCATACAACATAGAGAACAAATTAATCAACTTACCTCCTACATAGACGCATCACAAGTATATGGTTTTAGTGACGCTTTCGCTAATGAGCTGCGCAATTTGACTACCGAGGATGGTTTACTGAGAGTGGGTGTACAGTTTCCCCAGCAACGCGAAATGCTTCCCTTTGCTGCTCCACAGGATGGCATGGATTGCCGCCGCAATTTAGATGAGAATCAGATGAATTGCTTTGTAGCCGGTGACATACGAGTCAATGAACAGGTCGGCTTATTGGCCATGCACACGATTTGGATGCGCGAACATAATCGCATTGCGATCGAGTTTCGTCATATAAATCCACATTGGGACGGCGATACAATTTACTATGAGACCCGTAAAATTGTAGGAGCTCAAATGCAACATATAACATACAAACATTGGCTGCCATTGATTATTGGCGAAAGTGGTATGCTAATGTTGGGTAAATATAAAGGCTATGATGCCAATGTGAACCCGACTATTTCGAATGAGTTTGCAACAGTGGCATTACGTTTTGGTCATACCTTAATCAATCCAATTTTACACCGTTTGAATTCAACATTTCAGCCTATACCGCAAGGGCACTTGCAACTCCATAAAGCGTTCTTCGCACCTTGGCGAATTGCTTACGAGGGTGGCGTAGATCCGTTGATGCGTGGCATGTTTGCTACTGCAGCCAAGCTAAAGACACCCGAGCAAAATCTTAATACTGAACTAACTGAAAAACTATTTCACACAGCACATGCGGTAGCTTTGGACTTGGCTGCTATTAATATACAAAGAGGTCGTGATCATGGTATACCCGGTTACAATCACTATCGCAGATTTTGCAATTTAACTGTGGCAACAAGGTTTGAAGACTTAGCTAATGATATATCTAACAAAGAAGTTAGGGACAAACTTCAGGAATTGTACGGTCACCCGGACAACATTGATGTCTGGGTAGGTGGCGTATTAGAAGATCAAGTTAAGGACGGCAAAGTAGGCCCGTTGTTCCAATGTTTGCTGGTTGAACAATTTCGGCGTTTGCGTGACGGTGATCGTTTCTATTATGAAAATCCTACAGTTTTTTTGCCCCAGCAGTTGGAGCAAATTAAACAAACAAGTTTGGCCAGAGTACTATGTGATGACGGCGACCAGTTGGAGGAGGTTAGCGAAAATGTTTTCATATTGTCTAGCTTGCAGGGCGGCTATAAAAAATGCGAAGACATTGACGGAATTAATTTATACTTTTGGCAAGATTGTGCTACTTGCAGCAGTTTGCCGCCGCTATTCGACACTTACATACCCCAAACCTATAAGAAAACAAAGCGAAGCAAAAGATCTTTAGCAACCGATCAAGCAGAGATGGAAGAGATTGATTTGCCGCAAATCGCAGATCCTCACGACAATATATTGGACATGTTTGACGTAAACGAAGAACGCGTTAGTGGCCTAGAGGAAGTTATCAGTAGTTTCCAAAAGGAGTTAAAAAAATTGCATAAGAAAATTCATAGGCTAGAGGAGACATGTGAAGCCAATAATTCTAACGGCGGTACCGGAGGTGGAAGTAATAGCGGTCTAGTTATTAATAAAGCTAAACGTAACCATTGTGTAGATGAGAATGGTACTACTCGTCTAAATAACGAAGTCTGGACACCAGATTACTGCACCAAATGCGAATGCCGTCGCAATCAAATTACTTGCACACGCGAAAAATGCGGTGAAATACACTGTGAGCCGGGCATTGAACCTCTTACACCACCGATGGCCTGCTGTCCTCATTGTCCACCGTTAATTAATAAAATCGAGGAGATCAAAACATAAATCCAAAAATAGCATAGATGTTATACTCTCTAGTTGCCATTGAGATTAATATTAAAAAAAAAAAAAAAAAAAAAAAAAAGGAAGAAAAAAAGCCTACAACAATGTCAATCAACGTTACAAAAACTTCCCCTACATACACCGAGAAACTCCTCTTCATATTTCTTGCATAAAATCCTCGCCTCAAAATAAACAACACGAAAAGTTTTTATTACATATTAACACCAACAAACATTCATTCTTACATAAATAAATAATAGTCCAATAAACCAAAGGCCAAACTTATATGATTATTGTGTACATGATGATAATATTGCCAGAAATAAAATAACTCCAAAGAATTAAATTTAACTCAAAGAGAATTTAAAAACTTTTATTTGATGTATTTATTTAAATTACCTATTATCGATTAACTTATTGAAAGTCAACAAATTTCGTATGGCCACCTTTGGCTATTAAGGAATTATCCTTTTTATGTCGCAATTCACATTCAAGAAAAGCCAACTTTTTTCCAGCTCTTAGAAGGCTCGCGTCTATTATAACATCATCACCTTCACGGGCCGGCTTCAAATAGTTGACGTTTATATTAACAGAAACACCTGGATGACATGGTTTTGACATTAAAGCGTAAGTAGTAACCATATCGACGAGAGTAGCCGTAAAGCCGCCATGCAATCCCCCGGCACGATTTAAGTGTTCCGCAGCCACAGTAAATTCAGCGGTGCATTTGCCCTCACCGCCTCCGGTTATCTTTACCTATTTTCATTAGTTCATATAGAAAAAATACACAAAATATATGCATAAAGACTTTCTTTTATGAAATACAATAAAACGAGCCCCTTGATGAACATGCGAAAATTATGATTGAGCTGATTACATCCATCGCCGAAAGAGTCGGTATATTCATTTTGTCAAAACGTTTGTAACGCCCAGAAGAATACTTCAGAGACCATATATATATATATATATATATATACATATATATATATGCATTAAATTTAGAAACAATTTAAGTATGTCCGTCGCTCCGTCTGCCCATCTTCGTACTACCTGTGGTAAACATTCTCCTAATCGCAAACGTTGAAATCGTCGGATTCGAATTCGACAGACGCACTGGAACTCCTTGTGGCCAAAGATCAAAAGAGACACTCCGATGGAACAACGTAAACCGAGATTACCTCCCTTTTCAAAACGCAAACAAATTTGATTTTTTGCTCAATACTACTACAGATGCAGGAGGAAAATTCTCGCATGTCTTCTAGTTCGTTTAGTAAAATTATTTCCGCACACCAAATTGATGTGAAAAATTCGAATCGGGTGGAACAATTTTTTAAGCCCCCTCCCGTGCAATCGTTGAAGCATTGAACCGCGAAAGCCCATTTTTTTGGATACCATATAAGGAAATATATTCACGGTATCGGAAATGAAGAAGCTATCGACATTCTTTAAGCCTAATAGCGGTGAAAAAATGTTTTTCGATCTGCTATTTATATAAAATCCATATGCATTCTGTATGTCATTTTAAAAAAAAAACGAACATTTCGCTTAGTTAACACTTTAGAAATGCGTCTAGAATTTGACAGAGCATAAGCAGAAATTAAATCAATCCGCAATGTTATAAAGCTACCATGTAAGTTCAAATCAAATAGTGCATTCTGTCTTATATGTCTATTCATTCGTTATAATGACTTAATAGCAGGCACGGTAATGGAAAAGAAGAAAATGTAATAACATTATTTAAAAACATATAGTGAACCAATGCCCTACATCATCCTACAGTTATTTTTTCAGCGTTAGTCCACTAACTGTTCGTCAAAACATCTCGAAAATTGTAGCCTGTAGATTAAACACAGATAAACAAGAGAGACTGGCAGGCAGACAAGCTTAAATCGATTTAGAAAGCGATTCTTATTTACGCAGTAATTTCTCTTATTCAAGTCGTCTTTTTCTATATTCATACAAATCAATGTATTTTCCACATCCATCTTTAAATACGTATTACTTACGGGAAGCATGTTTTCCTTGAGCTAATTGAAGCATGTCTTCCTTGAGTGAATTAGATGGAAAAGCATATTCAAATATTAAATAAATAGTAGAAGCGTGAAATAGGAGCAAATCTAGAATCGTAATTTTCCGAAAGCGAGAGATTGATTATCTTATAAATGAAAGTACGAAGATAGCAAAGCATTCCTCCTGTTCTTTGCAATTTTACAAAGATCTTTAGTAAATAACACTGATCGCAGTTGTAATGTGTTAAGTCTACGGAGTAGCGCATTATGAATTTCGGGATGTTACTCAAACAATCATCAATGAATGTCATAAACATCAATTGTGGCTGCACTCAAATGTACAGCATCTATAATGTTCAAACCAAAAAATAAACTTTATTCACATGTTGCTAAGCAAGTCAAGAAAACATTTCAATCAATAATATGAGATATGTTACTACATTAACCTTAACCTCGATACTATTTTGATTTTCGAATCATAGCGGGATGTTAAGATTGCAAGTTAGTTTAAATACGACATAGGCGAATCGCGCGTATTAAGCAAAGTCGTTCTGATGGACTGTGAAGAATCCAATATTAAGATTAAGTGATAGACATCGCTTACGTTTCTGCAAACAACTCTGAACGGGTTAAACAGGTCATAATTATATTTACATTGACTAAGCTTGACGAAAATAAACTGCCTAAAGAAACGATTAGGGACGTTAAAGCTTATCTCACCAAGTAATGCGAAAGAATCGATGATAGTACCATTAATTAATTTAATTAAAAAGCAAACACCGAAAATAAATTTACGTTTCTCAAGTGCCGGTAAGGATAACAAAAGGAACCTGTTTTCATAAAGAGAAAGGCAGACAAGCGGAACTAATCCAAAAAATGAAAATAAATTCAAAGACGCATTATGGCAAAAAAAAAGAGAAACCTACCATTTTATCAACGTTGCTATGATTAAGTTTGTTACTCACTGCGCTTATTGTGATAGACGTTTGTAATAAAAGTTTACACATAATTTCCGAGATTTACAATTTCAACAATCTCTTTTTACATATGTAAATATATGTACTTTGACAAAGGAATAGGGATTAATCATGTACAGGGTTTCTCCTTATTTGAAAAATTGTAAAGCAATGCTATCCGCTTATGTACACAACCGTGTGCCACGAAAAACTGTTCTATAAGATGAATAGATTATCATTATGATTCTGCAAACGCATTATGACCAAGCGAAAAAACTGAATTCGGCTATGGCCGAATCTTTTACACCTGCCATCTTTTTATTAAAGTAGAATATGCAAATACTCATTGTTGCAGTTTATGAGTAGCGAGCAAAATACCCATTCCTTTGCTTTTAAGAACAGATGTTTTCAGGCGTTTTCACTTTACGCTGTAACAATCTGCGTGTAACAAGTTTCAACGTTTTTATGAAATTTGACGTCGACATCTCTATTTTAGGCTCCACAAGCAAACACATACACGAACAGGAAGACGACCAGACGAATGGACAAACATGGTTACATGGATTCATAATTTAATTCTAATAAGTGATATGTATGCTTTACTGCGTCTGCGAAATTTCTTCCCGGGTGTTATAAACGTTTAGTAAAAAAAAAATTAAATATCTGTACTCTATAACGTTGGATGAGCGTGAACGATTTTTTCAATTTCCGTACAGGTGCTGCAGTTTCAATTATCGAAAGTAAGTGCAAATTTTTATACCTTCGCCTGCTATGGTTTATAGGTAAAGAGCAAAAAACAATTTTTTTTAATTTTTTGAAACGGAGATTGAAAGAGAGAGATTTGCAAAGAAATTGTCTTAGATATTGTACGAACGTATACTTTGACGATTTCAGCCTCAACCTGCCTGCAAGAAATTCTAACATTTCTGTCAATTTTAAAGACAATAGCTCCATTTTTTCAATCAGGAGAATGCTACCACGGACGTCACACGGACAGACGGATACACATAACTCGGTTCAGAATTTGATGATGATTAAGAATGGGTATAGTTTGTCGGGTATTGGGCGCTTCCTTTTGGATGTTGCAAAAGTTTTGACAAAACGAATATACTCTCACCCTGGGATGGCTGCATAAAACTAAGAAAGCAAATTTAGTAAAACTGCGAAATTTTTTTATTTAAGTAATTTCTCACCTTTTCCAAAAGTCTTTCAAAACCTTTCGAATTTTTTATAATATCCGTAATATATTTGATGAATTCAGAGCCACTTTTACGAGTCGCCATCGCATACCTTCACTAATGAGTTTTTTTAATTACACTTTTAAAAAATAACATATGTACAACTTGTATGTTACGAAAGAAGCAAATAATACATTTAACAAATACACCGGTACAAACTACAACAAAAAAACTTGGAGAAAAACAGCTATTCTTACCTAAAGCATTGCCAGATTGAAAAACTAACAAATTTTTACATCAACATACTACATCTTAATTTTTGCCGTCCTCATTCTTTATTGAAACCTACAAATTTACTTTGTCCACCTTGAGCTATAACAGCCCCATCAAATTTCCTGGTTAACACACAATCAATATATGCTAAAGATTTACCTGCTCTTAAAGTATTAGCGTTGAGAATTACTTCATCGCCTTCTTTAACGGACTGGAAATAATTAACATGTAAATCTATGGAAACACCAGGATGACTTTCTTTTGACATCAAGGCATAAGTGGTAACGTTATCAACTAGGGTAGCAATAAAACCGCCATGCAAGCCACCATATGAATTCAAATGTTCTTTGGTTACAGTAAATTCACCAATACAACGACCATTTCCACCATCAGTTATACGAAACTGGAATTTAAAAAAATATTTATTGCTAACACCTAAGTTATGACAGAAAAACATAAGAACAAAACGATTATTACTAAATTTGATTTTTAACATGGCAATAATACTTTAAAAATTAGCTGCGATTTATCATTGTATTTCTCTTTCATATTTACATACTAACGCTCGCATTAATTTAGCTAAAAAAACAGCTGTTTTACTATTTAAAAGCATTTAATTTACTAAATTTTATTGAAGAAAAATTTTGAAAATTTTCAAATTGTTACACGACCAGACTTACACATTTGATAATCGAGTCATGGCTTCCATTTTGTGACATATAACCAGCCACAGCTTTTAAAAAGTCCACACCAAATTTGGTAGTCATCGCTATTTGGCTGTTCTAACAATACGTCTATTTAAACAAAATGTTTCAAATAGATGAGATGCAAACTATCATCCGTTGATCTTTGATTTGATGTGAATCATTAATTAGCCAATTAAAAAAAATTAAAAATAAATCTTATAAATTGAAATGGTATAACTTCGCTGTTGCTTTCTCTTATAAGACTATTTGCGATTAAATCAGAAAAATGCACTATAGAGTAAAGGGAATTAGAAAATTACAGAGTTGCGTTTAGTATAAGGAATGGTCTATATTTAAAAGAAACTACAATTACGTTATTTACATTTAACTAATATATATATACTTCAAGAATTTTATATTAATTAAATTACTTAATTTGGGATGATAGGAGGTGAATGGGATCGCAATTATTGGAAGCAATTTTCAAATATAAAGAAAGCCATTATCGCTAACTGCCTGGTTGGGCTGGGCGGTTGGGAGAACGAAGGCATTCGGCTGTCCATCCCAAAGAAGAAAAATGGCTGTAATTATCCTCGTAAGCAAACAGAAACTATAAACTTCGGAGATTGATTTGTGGACCCCATTTATGCTTAGTTACCTTGAAAATCAATACTACGCATCAAACATATACATATATATATATATATCATCTAGAGCTGTAGCACATTGGTTTAAACAAAATGCCTAGGCTTAGAATTTGCCTTTTCGACTTTTCCGACGTTTCTCTCAATTGCTACAGTCACTTTTTAAAATCAGTGCCGCTAATTACCACTTCAGCATTTGTGTTTGGTAGATTTTTCTTAAAACAATTGGAATTTTGATTTTACAAAAAAAAAAAAAAAATCGAAAATATATTTTATTATTGAACTATTATTAGAGAAATACAATATGAAACACTTGTGATATTTAACTCGTATTAATATGTAAAAAAAAAAAACCGGTAATTTGTAATTCATACGGACGCAATATGTTATAGTTTAATACTCCGATATATAAATTTCCGGGTTAGATTCCATTAAGAATATATCCTGTTCCAATTGTCGTAGCTCACGTTCATATTTACCTTTACGCAACTTTTTCGCTATGGTATCCGTATACAAGGATAAGCCCTGATAAGATTTAAATATTTCGGCGAAATTCTTTTTCAGGCCCTTTTTGATTTGTAAGTAAAGGAAAATTAATTTTTAGATCTTGCTTTTTCCTACTTATTCTCAAAAGTTTAATTACTTACCGCTAATATGTCTTGTCTATCGTCAGATCCCAATTTCTTCAAACCTGGCACGTCAGTCATTTCGCGAAGACAGACATCTTTCGCTAAGCTTTTGGCGTCAGCGCACTGGGCGTTATACTTTTCAAGCATTTTTTTACGGGCATGTATGTAACAGGGCACCTTGCCAAAGTTTTTCGAACACGTGTACTGGGGTATCAGCCCCGCATTTAGTAGGTTATGACGGTCTCCTGTTGGCGTATCAACATAACGTGGAGGTGGCCGCTTACTTTTTGAATTCTTAATCTTATCAATGTTAAGGGCCACGAAATTAGCTCGATGTTTGAAGGATTTCGTTTGTGCTTGTGGGCACGACGTACTTTCGACTTTTTTTTCCTTTTTGGGTTCATCTTTTGATTTTTCATCGTGAGCTACTTTGGCATGATGCAAACGTGGCACCGGCGGTATGAAACGCTTGGGTGGACACCGATGCTCGTTCAAACGTGACCATTTCACGCCTTGATTCTTACGCATAAAATTGCAAGGGGCACGTAACGGTGTCTCAGCGTATCCCATAGTCTGATGATAATTTTTTACCGAACTTGTTAGTAATTTCCTATTGTCACCCAAATCAATTATGTGCTTTGCTGCTTTTTCCTTTTTCACCATTTTACGATGCTTTGAAATATATTTGAGTGCAGTATGATGTGCTTGGAGATCCTGTTTATCCACATCAAATATATTTTCATCATGATAAGTTATGTAAACCAGAGACATATCGCTATGCTTCTTATTGATAATAGTGTTTAAAGTATTTAAAAAAAAAAGATAGTTCAAAACAGCTTTTTTTCGCTTCGTTTTAATATCAAAGAAATTAAATGTATTTTTTTCTTTTTGCTTTCCGTTTTAAATTTTTGTCTAAAAATCAGAGAAAAATAACTTTCAATATTAGAGAAAACAATATTTGTTCTAATAATCGTTGCTGTTGTACTAACAAAACATGTAACTAAGCAATATGTCTTGATTGCCAATAGTGTCTGGTAGTTAATGAAAAAAGTCATCAATTTTATGTTAAAGTAGTGTGAGGTTTTTACCAAATCTTCTGTCATTACGCCATTTTTTTCAAATATCGACCTAAACATAAATATTATTAAGTACAAAGTCGGTTTAAAAACATTATTGAACTTTCAATAAATTAAAATCCATACATTCCTCCTTATTTATTCATTGAATTCATGTTCAAGCATTGCATGGCAAAATAATGTGACCTCTTTTACTGGATTCAATATCTTTTCGCCTAGGCGATTTTTATGTGCATTTTTTAGACCAATGACTAATACAATTTGTAATTTTTATTTCCTTTTAAGTAAGCAGCTCATAAAGGATGAATGAAGAGTGGATATGCAAAGATTAACAGCTTTTGTTAAGCTCATCAAAATACGACCCCATCTTTATTGCAAAACATGACAAACATAAGCGTTTTCAAGACGATTTTGTCAGATTTCCGACGCCGGCCGCTCAGGAAGCCGCTAAACGGAAGATGAATTTCAGATTCGCAGTGGACCGAAGTCACCTTCACATTTATCAAATTGGTTAGTAAATCCACTTATTCGACGGTACACACATATTTCTATGCTTAAGTTACAAACAAGAGATTCAATATATATAAAGTTGAAGAGAGCCTCAAGTAAGCATTTTTAGTTCAATACTCTGTACAAATTTCCCTTCAGGTTTTTTCAATCGCTAATAATATTTGAACAGCGACATATACAGATGAATCGGCAATCTTATTTTTATCTAGTGATCGCATGAATGTTTCCTGCAAACTCCAAATTTATTTCAACAAAACATCAATTTATATACCAAAAATCCGCGGAGATTACGTCCTTGCTCTTCAAGATTTTTGGATAGCCATGCCGTGCTTATTAATAACTGTACAATGTACTTAGCTTACATACTGTATATGTCTTCTTTTTTTTTATTCGGAAATAATAAAATATTTCTCTAAAGCGTTTCCCTGATTGCCGATCAATTTCAAAGTGTATAACTTCTTAAATATTGTTACAATGTATTCTGAAGTCTGAGTTGTCTTGTAGTTTGTTGTAGTTGTAGGGAGTAGAGTATTTAAAATTACAATTATAATGTTCTATCTTATGCCGACGATGTCAAACAAATCAGTTTCCAATATTTGTCCTCCAATTTCATACTCGCATACAGTTGAATTTTATAGTACGGCTAATACGAATGTATCAGCTATGTTTTATTCTCTTAGCGCTAAGAACTATTTTGTAGCCACTAAATAATTTTATACTTCTCTTAATTATAGAAATCTGTCCATTTAATTATACTCTTTCTCTTTCTTTCTCTCTTCGCCTCTTTCATAGGTACGGCATATTAAAAATGTACAATTGCTTTAAAATAGCTTTCTATACCAATGTATGTAAATATTTATTTTTGCAAGTATAAAGTACTATAAAAAGAAGCACTTTTTATTTATTTATTAATAGCTTACATAAAAAGTATGAAAACTTTCAGAGCTCGAATTAAGAAGCTAATATTATAAAGTCGATTATAAATCAATTTGCTCGATTACCATTTGCTACTTCTCCGTCAACACAATTACTATTTGCTCGATAGCTTTGTCTAATTTATATTAAATGAAATTATAGCATTTGATCCTGCCCAATTTTTATAACAAGTTTTTTTTACAATTTTATGATTGATTTTTTAAAAAAAAATTTCATTTTCGAGAAGAAAATTTATTAGACCATATTTTCCGATTACTGTTTTAGTGTCGTATTTTTGACACAATCACCGAGAATGTATTCCTCCTGTCTCCTGAGTTTTTCGTTTAGTAGATGATTGTGGCATTGCCTATAACTTTGATTATAAAAGACGTTTTTATTTCATTTATATAAGACTTTTACTATCGCTCTCGGTACTATCACTCGTTCTGAATGATTTTAAGCAGAAAAGAAAAGGGAACTTTACAATGTTTTTAAATTGTTACCAAAACGAAATGACAACACTAAGTCGTTTGACACGTTCACGGACAGTAATAATTTCGGTGAGGTGAAAAAAATGGCAGCCAATTCATTTTAAAATTGGTTGTAATATCCGAAATCTAATTGAGTACATTCACTAAGGGTCAAATTTTTCAACTGAGATAACGTGAATGCTACAGCATTTATATAAGAGAGCGCATAAGAGAAAGGGACAATGAGCGAATTTGTTCTCTTTTTAGTGTAGGGAAATTTACGAATTTAAAGGCGCTTTAAGTAAATTTGTGAATACAAAGAGAATAAATAAAATTATAGAGAAAAACCTAAAGAATTAGTTAATCAAGATCTTCGGAAAGTACAATAATTTAAAAACCGCAGAGTTGTGCAAAATTAAATTGAAAATTAATTAGCTTCAAAATTTGAATTGAATAGCATTCATGTCATTTTGCGCATCACAGTTTAAATGAATGTTATAGCGAATGTTATAGTTGCGAACGTGTTAATGCGTGCTAGATATTATGAACGCATTTCTAAAGTAAACGTAATTATTATCAATTAATTTTCTATCTTGAATAGTTTATATACGAAGAAATTCATTAAATTTCGTTTCTTACGACCGTAGGAAATGAAATGTTTAAAAAATTTTTTTATATATTTATATGGAGCGAAACTTATTTGACAACTTTATATTGCAATGATTTATTTTAATTCGATTGAGAGAGAACGATTGACGATTATTACACGTACACAAAGGAAAAGAGCAATAGTCAAAACGCCAGTCCCCTAAATGGAGTGAAACTGTAACACGTAAAAGAAAAATATCGTCAAATAATGTCGTTAGACAACAATCAATTTACACAGTTGATGCCCTGACTCTAAGGATTCCAACACTTTTCACACGGCTTGAAAATGACACTCAACTTAACCTGTTGCCACTTTTATACATTAGTGTTTCGATTACTACAGTTATCGTTTAACCAATAGACTCCATATATTGACTAATTGAAATTTGTATTTCAGAATTTACGTTTTATAAACAGGACAATAATTTTATAAGACATATATAAAAGAACTTATTACACTTATTCATGCATATACATTAAAAATTTTTAATAAAACACAAACTACAAGAATACAAGTTATATTGAATGCATGAAATGGATTAAAATAAATCATATTGCACTCTTAGTTAAGCGGAAGAAAGAATATTTGATTTTATTTTGTTTTTCTTTTTGCTAAAAAGGTACAATAATTTAATACAAACGTACATACGCACGAAGTTCGCAAGCGATAACCGACCCGTTTGAGAGAAACAGCCACATACAACGCCCGCCAGAGCTACTGGGTGTAATGCAAATGCAGGAAAGGAGTCAGTCTTCACAGCCAATCCTACAGGACAAGGTACGGATGATAAAAAAAACTGAGGATTCATTTGCCGAGCTAGGGGAGAGAATTGTAGAGCTAATCGAAATTATGACTCCAGCTCCTCCCGCTCCTCAAAGATGCAGTATTCGTTGACCGATAAAGGGGCTGCTGGACCTACTAGCTGTGCTCCAAAAAAAAGCCGCAAAGGAGTTAGAGAAGCCAATGCCGGAAAATGCGGTTAAAGGTGGCATGGTACAGGCGTAAAAGGGAAGTAGAGGAAGGTGAGGAGGGCCACCGCGCAAGAGATTGCACAGTAGTTCGTGTTGTGGGATATGTAAAGAACAATGTAAGCCTAATAATTATCCAGTGGCCGATAGAAATTGCATGTTAAACAGACGCGGCAATACTAACAAAGAGCAGGTATTGTGTTTATGTAAGTAAATACAAACCATTGTCAGGCAGCACAAGGGGTTTTCCAACAAAATATCAGAGAACTGTCGATGATAATAATGGTTCAGATTGAGCCATTCTAGGTAGGAGTGAGCCGTACAAGGTGGAAAAAAGTGGGTAAAGGATAAAACGGGCACAGCAGCAACTTGGCATTGCAGCTCACATCTGGCAAGCATGATATTTCTTTCAATTTCAAAAATCTGGTAATTATCGCAGATGACATGAATGCCTAGGCGCTTAATTGGGCTAGTCAATAAACGAACGCTAAAAGCATAGTCATACTTGTATCTTTAGGCTGGCTCGATATGAGCATCTTAAACGTAGTTGCCGAAAACACTTTCAGCAAAGACGATCGTGCCTCCGTGATCGACGTTACCATGGCTAACATCCCTGAATGACGTGAAGTATTAGCAATGTCTATACCCACAGTGACCTCCTAGCAGTAATGTGTGAACTACAGCGAACCCAACGTGCGAACAAGGTAGAATGGCCTCCCAGGAGCTCCAAATGGGAAGCAGAATCGCTAGATAAGGAACTATTTAGAAATATGCTGCAAGAAGAAGAACACAGAAACTCGGCACAAGCCTTCGTTGCAGAAATTATGGAGCGAATTATAATAGCTTGTAATACTTTAATGACAAGGCGTTGCTTCTATAAGCGGAAGCATTCAATATACCAGTTGACCGACGAGATAGCCTAACTAAAAGCTCAATGCAACAGAGCGAGATGATTATACCAAACATCGAAGGGGTCTAGTGCCTATCTTAGCCAAGAGGAGTGCAAAGTCAGGCGAAGACAACTAAAAAAGCGAATATGATCAGCAAAAAAAAACTGTTCCAGGATCGGATCGAAGCGTTAAAGGAGGACCCATGGGGCACGAAATATAAGTTGGTTATGAAGACGCTAAAACATTTAAATCAACTAACGTGTCCAGAGTTTGCGGAGAAAATACTCCGCACCTTGTTTCCACCGAAAATCATTTTTACATTCGTGCCATTGAGAAGTGAGGGAGAACATTGGATTCACTTCGGCTGAGAATCTTTTCGCCGTCGGAGAGGAAATAAAAGACAAGCAGTCCCCAGTCCAATAAAGGCCATTTCGACAAAGCTCGAGATGTTTGTGAACTCATTCAATACATGTTTGAAAGAACAAGTTTTCCACAACAAGTGAAAGCAACAAAAGCTGGTGCTACTGCAAAAGCCAAGTAAACCGTGGCATGAACCAACTGGATACCAACTTATTTGTCTCTTGAACGCAATAGGCAAAGTGTACGAGAAGTTAATTCAAAATCGCATAGAAGAAGCACGAGAAGTGGGGGAGGGAGGTTCCATCGTGGGTTTCGATGACGACATAGCAATAATCATTACACCAAAAACTTTAGAGGAAATTACCGCTATAGCAAACATAGCCATCAACATGATTAGGAAGTGGCTGCAGTCAGTGGATATAAATCTGCTAGAAGACAAGACAGAAGTGGTCTTGATAACCTCAAGAAAGAAGCTTGACAAAGTTACAATTAAAGTGGAAGATACTAGAATACAGCCACATGACGCCATCAAATACCTACGACTGATGATCCACTGCACACTACCGCATAAATGGCACCTGCATTTCAAGGAGCTGGCGCGCTTACTATCAAACTTGCGGGGTGCTAGAAAAGACCGAAGAAAACTGCTGGCAGAAGTAATAACTGCGACGACACTGTATGGCTCTGCCATATAGAAAAAGGCGCTGGATATAGCGTCATGTACAAGAGCCATTCAAACAGCGTACCGGCTCTGTAGTCTAAGGGTTTGCGCCGCATACTGTACGCCGTCGACAGATGCGTCATTGGTTATCGTTGGTATAATACCAGTCGAATTGTGGGATGACGAAAGCAGATAAAGAGCTGAGCTTCACAGCTTGCCCGTTGACACCGCCAAGCAACGATCAAAACTCCGGCAGGTGGAAGGTTGCCAGCAGCGCTGGAGTAGAACGAGCAAACGTATATGGACGCACCGGCTTATATAGATCTGCGGCCCTGATTCAATAGGCAGCTGGTGCAGGTTGACTTTTATTTGACACAGTTAATTAGAGTCCATGGGTGTTTTAGAGCGAACTTTCATTAGTTTAAAATAGAACAGCACCCATTTTGAAGTTTTTGCAGATGTATCGAAGACGCTGAACACGTGTTCTTTATCTGTCCGAAATGCCATAAAGAATATCAGAAACTACAGATCGATGTCGGAGATTCCTTAGCCTAAACGGCTACCCTTCCTGTAAAGGTATACCAAAACGGCCCTGGCATAGAATAAGGTATCGAAGTAAAGTTGGTTTTTAGCGGGCTAGTATCTCGCACTGCCTCGAGGGGGCGTCTTTTGGTAGTTTTCCACGTCAGAAGAGAATAAAAAAGTTGAAGGTACTATCAACTACTACCAAGGTTAGCTGTGACTGACCAATAAACAGTTCGCATCTAAGAATAGATAGAAATGAAAATGATGTAGCCTACATATCCACAGACCTGTTCAAACTTGGTAAAAATATAGTTGATGTACTGTTCTGGTTGAAGCAAGTGCGGAGCAACTCTAATTACAAAATAGACCCACGAGAACAAGAGCGCATATTGCCACATTACTTGGTAAGTATCACGAAGGACTACAGAAATTACCCCCCTCTACAAGAATGAGTCAAAGACCCGAAACATGTAGCAGGGAGCGGAAAGTGTTTGCTATTCAAGATGATACTCACTAATAAAGGATGAAAATAAAAGTGACGCAAATCAACTTCAACCACAGTGAAGCGGCGCAGCATCTGCTGCGCTAGACAGTGAGCGCACAAGAAGATCTGGTGTTGGTGAGTTAACCGTACAGAAACAAGATTAATAATAGGTGGATAGCCGATGAGAGCAAGAAATACACAGCATATCCATGTTTCAAGATACGGTTGACCGGCGTAAAGGCGAGAAGCTAACATGAAAGGAATCAGGATTCTACAACTGATACGCACTCCCCAATTGGGCACTGTAGGAATTTTGCCACATTCTATTGCACCTCATAGCAAACATCCGCGGCAGAGCATTGCGCGTAAATGCAGGTAACTTTAAAGCGTGGGCGCTGAAATGTGACAGCCGGGCCTACAATGCTCGAGGTCGCAGTCTGCTCGAAACGTTTGCGAGTCTGCAGGTAACACTCGTTAATGACGGGCGTATGGATACCACTTTTGTAAATGATAGCTTACTCACAAGGTGCAGATACTCTCTGAATCAGAATTAAAAATAGGAACAGGCATTGAAATTAGAAGACGACCCAAGGACACGGGCCCGAAAAGATGTGATACATTTTTTGACGAGAACATCTTTAATTAAGTAATGGAAAGGATCAGAGAAGGAAGATACTAACTGATGCATGTACGGCAACATCCACCAGTAACAGAGAAGCCTCGTACTATTGATGAAACAAGGAAATAGAATATTCGTAAGCCGGTCATAAGAAAGCAGTTTTCGGGGTATATACTTGACGTCATAACGAGTTATCTCTCGAATCGCTCGTTGGTGTACGAAAAAGTCAATGGCGGCTGGTCCCGATGACAATTTCAATGGGTAATAGCAACGAAGTTAAGACGGACGTTCATTCTTATGCCAAACAAAATGCGCGGATACAGAGGAAGATGTAAAGCATGCTATAGTTCACTACAACAGGTTCGACTAAGGTAGGCGTCAAATAGAGTATAATGCTATATTGTCGGAGATAACAGGTAGTAACGAAGCCTACAGCACCGTACGCGAATATAAAAGGAAAGTTTCACAAAAACTGCTGGGCTTAGAAAGATAATGGATGAAGAGAGGAGCACGTGGAAGCCAGTAGGTTATTCCACTAACGTTCCATCGCGCGAAGTGAACTAATTGCAATCCGCGTACGTGAAGTAATACCCGACACTATGGTCCCGCAGGGGAAAATGATCAAAGAAACCTAGGTGTGGAGATTAGTTTTAGTACGTAGGTGCCAGGGATGACGAATCGTGCAAGCTGCTGATACGTGCCAGTTGTATCTTTCGAAAATTCCTGCTTCCAGCTAGCATTGCAAAACGAAAAAAAAAACAAAAAAAAACACAAACACGCACCACACACGCGCACACACCTATTCATAAAAGCATTCATAACATAGATAAGAATAATTAAAATAAATAAATACATTAAAAACATTTAGAATGTATATGAAATACAAAAATGCTTTAAAACACACTATTTGACACTAAGCTATTTAAAAAATATAAAACATGCAGGAGCGTACAGATTTTTAAATTTCAAATTCAATTTTTTAGGCTTCCAACTCAATCTTATTAAGCACTAAATAAAATAAGAAATGTATAGTACGTACTTTATCAAAAATTAAAAGCAATTAAGTAATTTTTTAGTCCACCCTCAGAAAGCATAAACTGCTTATATTCTATTATATTAGTTGCCATACCACAGAATTCATAAACATGTGCAAAGAATAATTAATTATCGGGACTGAGAAACGGTATTACCGCAAATGTTTTGCCAAAAAATGCAAAATTTATTTTACACACACTTTAGTTTAAAAAACCATTACAGTTACCACTACAATATTAGCAAATACTGTAAAAGAGAGAATAATTAACAGTATAGAGAAGAGAGAGAATGTCACTTCATATGCAAATTTATCACGCGTATTTTATATTTTATAATTTACTGTATTATCCTTTGTCAACATACAAAATAATAATAAAAAAGATCCGGTGAAATCTAAACATTAAAATTACTTGTTTGAACGTTCATGCTACATACATTGCAAATGAAAAGTATATTTAGCTTTCTCATAGTTAATATTTGTTATATCGAGTTTTATTACTTCAAAATTAATAAACTATATATATATATATTTTTTTTTTTGATAACTTTCAACATAAATGTCTTGTCTATAGAAACGTTTCATTTTCGTTGAATGTGTTTGAGGTTATGTCGTGACAATTTTCTTTCCAGTTTTGGCCAATAACTTTAAGCGAATCGATCAATGTGTTATAGGAAAAATACGGTTTGAACAGAAATATATCGTTCATAACTTTACTGCTTATCAAAGTAAGACCAGAAATGAAAGGAAGAAAAATATAATATATTGCCGCTACAAAGGAACATTGTTTATGAATATTTCGCGAAAAAATTCAAAATGGCGTATGTATTTCCTAATTTTTCTTAGTCAATAGTTAGGCTCAGAAATTTAAGTTCTGACGAGAATATTGCTGTCTTTAACGAAGGTGTTACGGCTGATACGAATTTATTGTTTACGAGAAATTCTCAGCAACTCAGCGAATTTCGCGACTAGTTAGTGGCGTATTTCTACGGCAGATGGAACTTGCGCTTTAAGATTTCAAGAAAAAAAAAGCAAGCATTTCACACAGTCGGCTATTGCACGTAGTTTAATGAGAAAATTTTTTTGATAAATATCTGTATAACATTGTAATTGTAAACTTAAAAAAAATTGAGTTTGAATGTTAGAAAATTGAATTTAAAGCTTATATCTCTTACTCATATGGCGTAAAATGACAATTAAATATTTTTTTCTTATTAAATAATTACAAGAAACATAATTTGAAAACAAAATTCCAGTCTATTTGCTATTATTATTAACACCTTCATTTTCTTTTTTCCGTTCCTCGCGTATACGTTTAAAGGCCTCCGTTTTAACAAAATCTACGGAATTGTAAACGACACTGCTTTGTACCGGAGCTCTGGCCGAAGGATCGGCTGCCAAAGCTAAACGATTAATACCTGGTGCACTTAAATTACTAATACTCATACTTTGGCGATTAATAGCTGGAGCATTCGTAACGTCTAAATCGAAATATTGTAATTTATGCTCATTTTTTGGTGGTAAATGTAATAGCCCAGATGTTGTACTTAACGATGTATTGCCGGTTATCGTAGACGAATTAGTTATAAAAGGCGTTGCTATTTGCATGGCTGCGTTTGCCGAGGCGGTGCGTTGATGTTGTACGGTAAAGCTGGGTGGAGTAGCCCCTGTAATAGCGACTGGTGTATTACAAATTATGCTTTGGTTATTAATCGCATAATTAGGTCGCGGTTGACGTGGTAAGGTACGTGTTTCCATAACAAATGAATCGTTATTGGGAGTTAGCACCATAGATAATGGAGCACCCGTCGAACGACGTGATATATTTCCCAAAGTATTCGAATTTCCAATCTGAAAATATTAATCTAGAATCATTTACTGAAATTTTATTAATACAAATTATTCTCCGGAAAAACCCCTGCTATCTTTTGTGTCTAAATTTTAAGGGTATGAAGATCAATTCGAATTTAACTAGCAAAGACACCTACCATTTTCAATAAGAAAATTCTGATAACGACTTAACAAAGCTCTGTTAAATAATTAGAATTAAGATATAGTTAGATTTGAAAGCCTACTTCTCCCATATTAAAAAAAAGGAAAATATTTTTGCGGACATTTCATCTACGTCTACATGAAAATACCTTCGCAAACAAAGTAAACAAATTAAAATTCTGTTTATGGAAACTATTTCTGACGATGTGTGAAATTTGGTATATTAGCGAAAAATGGTTATGGAAGAACATCGAAATTTGAGACTCTAGTGCGGCCAAACTAGAAAATGTCGCCTATATTCACCTACATATCACGTGAATCTTGGAAAAGGCGACAAAAAATCAAACAGATTTGCGATAACTTGGAAGCAGTCAACTAGGGAGAACTAGTCCATGTGGCTTGCCAACCAAACTCGAATCTTTTCGATTGCCACTTGTTTTACGAAAGTGTACGAAAATGTTCGGATTATATATATAATATATATAGAGCTAATGGCGGACAATAATTGAAATGAAACTATTTTTAATCATTTTCTTACAATAAACATGCACTTTCTACAAAAAAAAAAAAAAGCGTTTTACTAAAAAAAAAAAAAAAAATCCGACACTATAAAAACTTCATTCTAACACTACCCATAACTTTTTTCCAAAAAGAATTAGCATTTTGACGCTTGATTAACAGCTGGTTTGAACGAAAAGATGCAATTTTCGTTGGGATGAGTAAAACTATTATATCGATTGCCTTGCAGCCGGATTGAAAGGAAAGAAATTATATAGAGTAGAATCCACATTTATAAAGCTAATGAAGGCTAACATTTGCTTAATTACAAAATAAAATGTTAAAGTGTTTCTCAAAAACATTTGATACATAAAATAAAGCTATGGAAATTTATAAAAATTATTTTAACGATATAATAAGATTAGTAAAATATGCAACAGAATTTAGTTACTTACCTTAAAAGCATTTGGTTTGTTTTTACGATCGACTGACGGCGGTTTTAGCTTCGGCTTACTTTCAATGATCGCTGCTGGTACGGTTGTCGCTTGTAATTGGGTACTTTGAAGTTTACTGTTTAGAGCCTCGATTTGTGCTGCCAATTGTGGCGGTTTAGCGGGTAACTCTTCTGGCGGCTTATCGGCTTCGACACTTAGCTTTGGTTTTAATTTACGATTAACTGGTGGTACATCACTTTGTTCCATAAAATCATAACGGAAAACATTTCCTTCCACTTTACTGGGAGCAGCATTCGTATAACAATGAGGTCTAGGCAAAGTACGTACAATATTTGTCGTAGTTGTTGTTTGATTACTTGATGAAGTCACGGATGATGCTGGTGAGGCGGGAACTGGCACTAAATTTGGAGTTGATGCTGCTATGGGATTAGCTTCACCTGGGCTGGTCGTCATCTTATCAATGAGATGGGCCATATTATAATAGGGTAGTTGATGGGAACGCGGTATATCGTAACTTTCATCGACTACTGAACTAGCATCTCTTGGCCCTATAATGGCGGGGGAAGTATTTTCCGTATCGGAAAACTGGGGTAGATCTCTTGGCAGCCTGTAAAATTCATTTTTTTCAGTTTATCTATTATCGATTTCCCGAGCGCTTTACTTTGAGCCTTACTTTTCATTTTCCTTGAAATCTAATATTAAATTATTTTTATTCTTTAAAACTTTAGCTAATTTTTCCAAACATTCACTGGAATTTCCATTTGCTTTTTGATCTTTACTAAGATCGTCTGGTATCTTGGAAAACCGTTGCGAGTAAGTTAACACAAAGGATTCATTTTCCACCGAACTATCTGAGGGTCGGGTATTGCGATCTATAAAAAAGAGAGTTTATGTCTAGAGAAGAAAACAAATTCAAAAAACTTATAATACCTAAATTTTCTCTTAAAGGCATTGGGTGGGTCCATTCGTCATCGTCGGTAAAAACACTTTCCGAATCGGAATCGGAGCGTTGACTGCGATTTTTGGTAACCGATAAAGGCTGTTGCTATCAAATGTATATATATATACATATATATATATATATATATATATATATATATAAAGCATATTTAAGAGCTGATACTTCATTAAATAAATATAACGAAATCAAACGTACCGTTCCACAGTTTGTGATTTTTGGTGAATACGATTGATCATTGGTTAAATTTAAACCGATGTTATTATGACTGCGCGGTGTATCATAAAATTTCGGATCCAAATTATTTAAGGGCGTTGTGGGATTATTACCTTCAACCTAAAATATTTGAAATGATTAAGTTTTTTTTTTAAACTCAAATTGACGCTTAACTTTTCGTATTTACCATAAATTTTGGGCTACCCGAAAAACATTCACTTATTGGTATGTAAGGGCCTGAAGCCGTACTTAGGGCCGGTGACGGTTGTACATTATGGGTTTGCGTTTCAGGCAGCGGTGTATTATTAAGCACCAGATTTTCAGGTATTTTGCGCACCACACCATTCGAGCTAACAGCCAATCGCGGAGATTCTTGAAAAGCCGCTGCATTCAAGTATAAAGCAGCAGTTTGATGCTGTTGCTGTTGCTGTTGCTGTTGTATTGCATCAGTAATCATTTCTTTATTCGTAACGGCTGCCACACTTTCTAGCTGTTGCTTTTCAAAGTGAGCGTCACACAATAAGGTTTCGCGATTAGTGTATTCAGTGTTAACGTACGCGCTATCATTGATATTTTGTGCATTACCTAGGCCACCGGTGATTATCGGTTGTTGTTCCACTACGGCTGTAGGCTTCCGTAGTATATCGTTATAGAAACTTTGACGTATATTAACCGATACAATATTGCCGGTCGATGAATTTATACTTGTAGCGTCATTAAAAGAACTCGTATGCACCGAACTGATAGTCGTTGTATTTATATTCTGACCACGATTTTCATCTTGCGATTGTTTTGTGTCATGTAAATGGCACACTTGACAAATACAATTTACCCAGTCACGCATATCCGTTTCCGTATCGGCCGCTAAGTAATAGGTACGTTTCGGTGTCTTAATATCAAACATAAATTGAAATTTCTGTTTACGATTTTCCAAACGCAAACCGCAATCCACCTGTTCGCATTGATCCAAATCAATGACACCCTTCAGTTTGCGACACTTGCGATCGGCATAGTATTCTAGGCAAAACTGCTCCGGTATCTCGCCTTGTTTCAATGTAAACCAACGTCTACGCCAACGCTACACAGTCGCAAAGCAATTGTCAACAAAAAGAAAAATATTACTTTATTACTCATATACATTGTTTGTGTTGTAGAACGTACGATATAACTACTTTTTGTGCGTGTGTGTATGTGATAATGTCATTTTTAGGTATACATTATAGTATGCAGATATATTCCTGTGTGTGTGCCTTTATGAATTCACTAATGTAAAACAAATTGTGAGCGTAAAAATTAACAAATTCTAAGCAATGTATTTAGATAAAGTGGGTTCTAACGTATATTACATATGCACACGTATATATGCCAAACGATTTGTATGCGAATATTAGTATGAGGGAGCGAGCGTCTCTTATCTTTTCTTATATTATGGCTATTGCATTATTAATGACCAATGCCTGATGATACAAAGTTCCAAAGTTTTAAATAAACAAACAGACATTTCTAAAATATTGGGATTTAACCGTTTGAGTCCCAAGCAGCGCAATCGCGTTGTTCAGATTTTATGTCGAGAAAATCCAGACGATACTGAAAAAACGCGCGACTGCGCTGTTTGGGATTCTTCGACAGTGTTTTTTCAATATCGTCCGGAACTCAAACGGTTAAGCGTAAACTAGGGGAATTGTTTATACTCTTGCCTCGATGCTTAAGTCCGTAGGAAAACTCGAACAAATGTTGTTTACAGTTGCTTTCTAACTCACAAACTCGTAACGCATAGAACGGGTGTGTGAAAAGTCTCTGCCTCGTGAAGAAACAATATATTATTTTTTTCCAAAATTCATCTTTATTCATCAATATGGCATTCTTCAAAAATGATATAAACAATCGAATCTATTTCGAATTTTTCAAGACCTTTTTTGTAGAAAGATATTTGCCATGATTTCCTAAATTTTAAGCATATAATTGTGTATTGCGGCCACATCTGAATGTGAATTTAAGTAAATGTGGCACCCAATGGTATTGTTCCCTTACGGTTATCCAAAATTTCAACGTAATGTTAACCAAATACCCAATTTTTTTCCAGTTCCACAATGGGTTCATCTCGACTCATGCACACGACTTTCTAAGAACAGCTTCACGACCGAAATAGTTGATCTTTTGATTAGAATACTTATCGCAAACATATTTCGTAACTCTTGTGAGCAAGTGCTGCCATGTATAGGTCGGACACTTTTCAGCCAAGTCTCCATACATAATACAGTGTACTAAACAAAGGACAATATTCGCATCATTCCAGAAAACTATTTAGTTGTATTCAATACATATACGAAATTTATTATTAAGCGTTTAAATGCGGACAGAAACAACGGGTGTTTTCGGAAAGGGGGGAGAACCTTCTCGAACTTAAAGGAGAATGTACGCTTTGAATGAAAAGAATGCCGTAAGCGAAAGTCATATGCGAAATTTTATTCTCGAAGATGGTCACACGCGAGAGTTCAGTCAATCAAGTCGAGGTTTTGAGGCACTTCAACTTCGTTTCAAGATATTTTGCCTTTGAGATTAATTGAATGTTTTCTACAGATTTATCCATAAATTCATCAATTTTTTTTTTTTTGAAGACTATTTTGAAAGATAACTTAAGAAATTGTACCGGTTTCACATTTCTATTTCTATTCGATGTAATCAACTTGAAATTTTATTCCGGTCAGGAGTGGTATGTGAAAAGGCTTGGGCTTTTTTTCAACCGAGCAATAGGCATACTTTCATCTTACAAATTAAATTGATTTTCTTATGCAAGTGGGCAAGTGGCGCTGGGTAACGTCAATATGCAAATTTGTTCGTTGAAATTTTCCTATAAATAGCTTTTAAGAAGACTTTTTTTTAAATTTTTTTCTCTAACCTCTCAGGATTAGTACGTTTAAGACAATTAAAAATAATGAATAATTTTATAATTGCGTAGCATTGAACAATGCATACTATAACCTGGAAATCGGAGTTGCCTGGCTGTCTGTCTGTCTGTCTGTCTGTCCCCCACTATAAGTCGGATAAGTAATGCAAACACTGTATGTGATATTTCCTCTCTCTTTTGGAACATGTTGTCGCTGCAATATTAATAAAATTGAATTGAGAAGATTCTACACCCATGATTTCGAAATTTAAATATCTTTATTTGTGTTTTTCAAAAAGAATACTGAGACGCTATTGAAAGCGATAAATGCTGCTTTAAAAACATCAAAGGAAAAATTTTAGAGCTCCGTTTAAGTGTCGCATTGCGGACAATTATTAAAAAGACCAAAATCAAACATTGTAACTCGAAACTTGGGAGAGCAACGCCGCAAAACTATCCGCGCACTTTCTGAAAACCAATCAGTCATCCGTCGACGAGTATTGTATTCAACAATCGAGACTATTGTAGTTCGAGTTAGTTTAAATTTATACCGAGGTATGTCATTAAGTACAAAGCTGCTCAAGCTTTTTGCGTCAATTCTGGACAAAATCGCCTGAATCTCCGAGGAACGCATGTCGCATGTGTAATCTATTCCAAGTCAGGATAGGAGTAAAGCTGACTTTTTTCGGCGAATCGAGTGCAGAAGTTGTTGCGTGCAAAGCTCATCCTTTTCTTATGTTGATCAAAGTTGTGGAGCGGTATAAGAACTACCAAGGCGTCTGTCCTATTCTCACCTACCCAAATATTTCTTTTATGCAGGCCTATAAATTCGCCACATCATTTGCTGTTGTGACTGTCTTGATCAAAATAAATGATTCGTCAATCAATCAAACGATTCATTTTGATTTCATCAAAAGATGGAGCCAATGGCTCGCTTTAATGATTAGTAATTTCCATTTCGGGAAATTGCAGTTATTCAAATTCCTTCGCTAAAGAATTTACAAAAATGTTGCTTTATACCGGCAACAAAGCCAAATATTTGTAGTATAGCGCACCTATCGCTAAGGCATACACCACATGCGGGCACCTACAAATAGATCATTGGGATACCAATTACAGCGTTTTATCTACTTTCTTTATTTATATAAAAATGCTTATGTATTTACATTATATATATATATATATATATATATATATATATATACTCGATTGGTTAAAAAACCTCCAGAATTGTTTGGTAGTTTATAGTAAGCATCGACTTCCACTTTGCAGTCGATTTTAAAGCCATCTGTATGAATATTGATTGGATTATGCCACTGCTTCCGCATTACTTCTACTTAAACGGGACGAGAGAGCAGAAGAATGGGCGACAATCTTTACAAAGTGATTTTCACAGGGGCTTTGCACCACTGGGAGAGTTCTACAGAGAGGTAAGAAAGTGGTAATGGTAACGCCGGGGCAAATCTCAACCTATACGATGGATGGAAATTTGCCAGCCGAACTCTCTACGGTTTTGTCGACGCATTAGAACTGTTATGGAGAAAGCTAACTCCGTTCTTATTAACAAATTCTAAGTCCATTACACGCTTTGATCTCATTCTCTGTCTAACAGCAGAAAGTGCAATTAGTCAGCGGACTAGTTGGGAACACTCCACGGGGCACTAGTCTTTTCCGATACCATCAAATACATTCACTTAAGTGACATCAATCCGAGCTTTATCACTGTTGATGCACCTTCATCTGTCGCCTGAACACAAAACATTCACTTAACTTAAGTAACGTCAATCTGACTTTTGCTGCCGTTGAGATAATTTCTTCGGTAGTCAATTCGTACAATATTGTGATATGTGATCCGGCAATTTTATCGCGCTTGTTCTCCATACGTTCGACAATCACTTGATTCCATTTCCGTTTTAGCAGTAAATCGCAGATGGTCCACTACTTTCTTTAATTAATTCTTTAATTTGGTTCACTGTTGATTCTTCTGATTTTGTATTCTATCTTATGCAAATTGTCCTCAACGATTCGCCCTCGGGCTAATGTTTAGCTATAAGATAAAACATGCATTTCTTTTTTTCCTCAATTTGTTGAAGAATTTTATTAACTTTTATTGTCGATTTGTGGAGTATAAGGAGCTCGACACGTCTGCAGCGACGAAATTTCCAAAACGAAAATCAGCAAAGTATTTGCGAGATGACACTCATTATAAACAATTCGACACTCATTATAAACAATATGATATCTTTACACAAGCTTAGGTAAGATAAGCCTTAACGGCCCCGTGTCGAAGAAGAAGAAGCACTTGTATTAGTAAAGTATAAAACGCAATAACTTTTGCCTAAGTTAATGAATGGCTTAATGTGCTTTGGTTTTTCTCTGCTTTTTTTGTACGGCTTAATAAAATTCGTATTGTCAAAGTTGCACGACTTGAAGATTGTTTCGTTAATGAGGAAAGACGCGGGAATCCTTTTTCTTTAGCTCACGATATGCATGCACGATATGCTTGGAATTTTGCATTGTAACATAATATTCCCAATAAATGCTTTGTCATATAAAATTGATTTTTTTTTTTGGGGAAATTCTTTTAAAAATAAAAATTATAAAAGTTCTATTAAAACTTGAACAATATTTATTTAAAATTTTTTTTTTTTTTTTTTATTTTATTTAAGTGATCCGTAAAGTGTTTTGCTTTTTTTTTTTCATTTCAATTTAAATAAATGAAAATATGCGCAAAAGATATATTTTCGCATACGTTATAGAAATGCCGATATATAAACGCACACATGCACAATTGTTTATAAATTTTCATATAAACAATCGTTGATTCATCATCATTATCATCATCATCATCATCGTCATCATTTTTGTAGGAACTAAAGTTATGTTCTTTTGATATTTAGAAATACAATTATAATATAAAAAACCAAAAAAAATAAAAATAAATAAATAAATAAATAAATAAGATAAACATTTATTAATTATAGATTCATTTATTTATTCGTCTGTCAATCGAACTGTCGATCAATCTATCGATTTATCGATATATATGCTTGTTTGCTCTTTATTGAGCTACGTCTGACTAACAATTATTTCCTAAGAAGAATTTATGTAAATTTAGTTGTTGTCATTGTTCATTACACTTGTGTGTTTATTATTTATTATATAATTGTTTTGTTATTCTTCTTATGATTACTATTAAGCGTTGTGTGTTCAATGGATTCACGCGACTATGTATAGGATAGTTAGTGTGTAAGTTGAAGTGCAATTTTATACTAAACGGAAAGTTTGCAAACAAGGAAAACATCAGCCATATTTGTATATAGTTTTATTGTTACTATGAAATGTCTACATATAAGTATATGTATATATATATATGTGTGTGCATGAATATGATTAAAGACATGCCCGTATCCATGGCTGAATTATATACCTTATGTTCTCTCAAAACAAGACCTAATATTATAGTGTGTGCGGCCGGTAGCGTTTATCGGTTGTTTCGTATAATTGTTTTTTTTTTTTTGTTTTTTGAAGTGGTTTTCTAGGAATCCACTCATATTTTTCGTGTTCCTTGTCCGTTAAGTATATTTTAGTGTTTACCAGAGAAAAAATGTTATTAAAGCTATTTTAAGGGACATTTATACGAAAGCGATTTATTTAATTTAAAATCATATATATTGTATATGTGTGGGTGCGTGTGTGTGTGTGTGTGTGTAAGAAAACGTGTTTGTAAATAATTGTGCGTGGAAGCTATTATGCATTATGTATGGAAGTATGTATGTACGTCTACACAATTTTTAAAATTAAGAAAATTTTTACTGGCGTCAGCTTAAATTGTTTTTCTCAATAGCAAAGTAAACAGAGCGAATTACTCTGACAAACGCCCACTTGAGATATTTATGGAAGATTATCCAGCACAGTCAGCAGCAATCAGCAAGACCAAGACCAACCAACCAACCATCTAAATTGCAATGATATATATGTTTAAAATATTCATGCACCCTATGATAGGCTATACGTATTTTTACCAACATTCAATATTTAACTGACATTCTTTAAATTGTAAATTGGAAATTTTAAAAACTGTCAATTGTTCGATTAACGGACAAAATCGCAAATATTTTCGGAATGATACATCACCAGAATTCATTCCTTCAAGCCGCCCATTATCTTTTGTACTTGTTGCCCTATGTGCTCTCAATCACACGTTATACAGATGTAATAAGACTATCACTATTTTGGTAAAGTTCACGAACATATATATGTATATATATATATATGAGAAAACTCATATAAACCCCGTAAAATATATTCTTGGTGGCAGAGATTGGACATGAGATTTCTAGTCAACTAATGGGTTTTCATCACCAACCACTAAAAGATGACATCACTCCGTTGATAATATAAAGCAACACGCAAACATGGCCTGCTTCCTTAAATTATACGTATGTATTCTTGATCAATTTAGGATTCGTTGAAATTGTATAACGATATCCGCCTTAAGTGTTTTTTTTTTTTTTTTTTTTGCAAAACTGAGTAATACAAGCGCCACAAAGTAAGTTGTTAATTGTATGCCAACGTTCAGCGTACACTATTAATCAATTGAAAAGTCTCTTCTTTAAGGATACGTCATCATGCCAAGATTTATTTTAAACACAAATGGTAGATTAGACGTATAAAAGTGACAATCGAAGGCTCCATAGCGGTTTTGTTTATCATTCTCGCAGCTACATTGAGTCAAGACATTATAGTATAGGTATATATGTGTTTATCATCAAGTTTCTTTTTAAACAATTGCTTATAAAATTATGACTTATGAGTTAGGATTTCAAAAATATACAAGATCTACCGATATATACGACTATTAAGATATCCTTTTTTCTGCCTTGCAATTACCTACTAGCTTATGATGGATTCGAATATAATCGAGTATATTATTTCCGTCTTGTTAATAGCTCGGCCGCTCTTTTAATTGTGTGATATAATCTGGAAAACATATCTCAGAGTCAGTCAAATTTTCTTTAAGTTTTCGCACAAGAAGCCGTCGCCGTCGCCGTCGCCGTCGCCGTTTCAAAGTCGCCATTGATTATTCGTTAAAAAAAGAAAGTGTGCTGTCATGATATCCGCGCCATAAAGTTGCAAGTACAGTAGTATCCTATTATCTAAGATGTCGAATTGTTGACTTGAGCAAACCATTAAGCCAAAAACGGATCACTGAAGTATCCCAAAGAAAATTGCTATAATTATCTAAGTTTATTCATCCGTTTGTTTATTGTATATATGCTGGTGAATGTCGGCATGAAAAGGCCGACATAAAAATTGATACTTAAAAGCTTTGATATATATTTGGCTTAATAACATATAATTGGTCGTAGGTAGACAGTGCCTCTAAGGACAAGTGTTTTTCACAGCTACTGAATGAATGCATAAAATTCGTCCCAAAACCAAATTTAATTCTTTTTTTTTGCGTTGTATTTGCAATCACAACGAGAATATCAAATGAATTTTAATCTATAAAAAGAGTATTATCGGTGCGGAGACTAAGTGACAAAAAAAAAAAAAAGTTGAATTCGGTTATTCATCTACAGCAATTTTAAATATAAATAACACAATATAAATAATTATAAGCATTTAAGAGACTAAATATTATGTTCAAAAATGTAATACGATTTTTATGACTCCATCTCTTATAAAGATCAAAATTTCATTTCGATTCCCTATACGCTGTTTGCAAGATTTTTTTTCTTGAGCCCCGATTCATTTCCCCAATGCTCAATGCCCTTCTTTCACGTTATTACTCATTCGATGACTTTAAGCAATCATTGCTCCTTTTGAAATCGTTAACATACGTTTGCTTTATCAAATCATTTCCTCTCATTTTGTGTCAAACACTTACTATTATATTATTATTGTAAAAGAATGAAAGACGTTATAATCGGCGCAGGCCGCACGTTACATACCCTACATTCTCTGCATACTCTACTTCGTCCAATAAAACTCTTTACTTATTTTCATTATAATAAATTCCTACTATATTGCATTCAAGATCTTGTATTCAAGATTTGAATCGACTCTACACAAATTTACGAAAATTAATTTATTTATAATATATATATAAGAATATGTAAAGAAAAGAAAAAAAAAAAGCAAGTAATAATTTATGTATAAATAAATAAGAAAGAAAAAA